ACGTACACACACGCACACACACATGAGATACATGCACTCACTCCCAGGAGAAGTGTGTATCTGAAGCGCACAGTGTTGACAGTCCATTGAATTTTTTTTTCTGCACTTCATATTTTTCGAGGAATCTTTTGGGGGAGGAACCCGCGAAAGCCCTCGAACTCAATGCCGGGTGTTTATCCTCGAATCTCAGTTTATCACTTGACATAGTTTGGAGTACACGAGGGAGAAAAAAAAGAGCAGTTCGGAGTTCCTGAATTTCGAATCTCTCTCTCTCTCTCTGTGCATTTGCATATCGCTTTTATTTATTTTAGCGGGGGGGAGAGTTTGCATCTATTTGCGAGTGTTTACCGTGGATCAGCTGATGGCCGCCATGTTGGGTCGTGTTTTAGGGTGGATCTTGTTTTAAATCTTCGAGTCTATGGTATCAGCAGTTTTATTTCTTTTAGTGTGGTGTTAGTGGTTTTATTTCAGTGAGTTTATGGTATCTGGGCCATTTTTTATGGTCATACGCGCGGAAGCTGTTTGTTTTCCATCCTCCAGTGACCATTATATATATTTTTTTCCTTCTGAGTGCCTTTCCTCCTTTCTTCCTTTCTCCTTCCTATATTTTTCGTCGTCTGTTGTTCATTGGTCTGTTTTTACTTGGTTTGTATAACTGTATTTCCTTTCTTTCTCTTTTTTTCTTTTATCTCCTTTTCCTTCATCTTCCCTTTGTTTCTCTTTCTGCAATAATTCCATCTTTTTTCCTTAATTCTCTTCCTCCTCTTTACACCATTATCTTTATAGTTATTATCATGATCACCACCATCTGTTTTTCTTCTTTTTTCTCCTCACCCCGTTCTCCTCCTCCTCCTCCTCCTCCTCCTCCTCCTCCTCCTCCTCCTCCTCCTCCTCCTCCTCCTCCTCCTCCTCCTCCTCCTCCTCTTCCTCCTCCTCCTCCTCCTTCTCTCCTTCCTCTTCTCCCTCTTCCTCCCCCTCCCCCTCCCCCTCTGCCCCTTCTCCCTCTTCCTCTTCCTCTTCCCCTTCCCCTCCTTCCTCTCCCCCAGCCCCCCTCCCCCTCCTCCTCTGCCCCTTCTCCCTCTTCTTTCTTTACTGAACCTCATTATTTTCCTCACATCGTCACCCCCCCCCTCTCTCTCTCATCCTCCACTCCTCTACTTGACACTGTCTGACGCGAGGCTTCGGGCGCACACAGCACCCTGACCAACACAAGTCTACGGTGACCGCCCGCCCCATTTCCGAGTCATTTCCTGCCTTGGGGACGTTTTTTTCGCCGTCGTAGAAGTGGAGAAGGAAAGGGGAGATGGGGAGAAGAGGGAGGAAAGAAGGGAATAGGACGGAGAGAGACGAGGTGAGAGGATAAAAAGGGAAGGAGGGAAAGAGAGGTAAGGATATGAAAGCGAGGAAAGTGGAGGGAAAGGAGGGGGAAGAGGAGAGAAAGGGAGGATACGAGAGGGAAGGAGAGAAAGGGGAAAGAAGATAGAGGAAGAGAGGAAGTCAAGGAGGGAAAGAGAAGAGGGAACGGCTTGATGGGATAAGATTGGAGAGATAAAAAACGAAGGAAAATACGAAAGAAAGAAGAGAGAGGGAGAGCGGGAAGGGAGAGAAGAGAAAGAAAAAGAGAGAGAAGGAGAAATTGAGGGACAGAGAGGAAAGGAAGATAAGAGAGAAGTGAAATGCAAAGTAAGTGGAAAAGAAGAGAGAAGTGAATAAGAAAAGAAAGAGAAGTGAGAAAGTAAAGTATGGTAAATGAGAAGGGAAAGGAAAGGAAATGAAAAAAATGAAAGGAAACAGTGAAAGTAAAAGGAAACGGGGCTGGATATGGGAAGAATAAAGTATGGGTGAGAAAGCATGAGATAAAAGAGGAAGATACAACGATATACATGTGTATAGACACACACACACACACACACACACACACACACACACACACACACACACACACACACACACACACACACACACACACACACACACACACACACACACACACACACACACACACGTGTGTGTGTGTGTGTGTGTATCTCTATATATACACATATATCGAGAGACACAGAGAGAGAAGAAGACAGCGGCCTTTTCCCTTCACCGCTCATCGCCCTTCCCTCTCCTCTATCCCTCCCATCCTTCGCCTCCTCTCCTTTCCTCTCGCTCCCTTTCCCCTTTCCACTTTATCCTCTCCGCCTAACTGGCCTAGCGCCCTTTTCTCCCTCTCGAGCGCTCTCTCAAGAACTTCATTAATTGACAGCCTGACTTCCTCTTCCTTGCGCTTCCTTGTTGCTTTTGTGTGCTTGCGTTGATCTGTAAAGTTTATTTGGGAGTTTTCTCTTTTGGTTCGGGTGTGTGTGTTTGTCTGTTTGTTTGCGTTTGTTTGGACTATTCCTCTATTTTTTCCTCCTGTTCTTTCCTACTCCTCTTCCCTTCTCCCCCCCCTCTCCATATTCTCTTCCTCCCCCCTCCCGTAGCTTCCTTTTTCCCACATCCCCCCCCTTTCCTC